TCAGAGTTGGTTATGATTTGATGTTACTCAACAACAGTTACCATGCAGGGAAATCGTACCTCTCTTCTTTCCAGCTAAGATGGGAACAGAACAGGGTTGAGTAGAAGACAATGTGTGTACAAGTTAAAGAGCAATCTGTTATTAGGTGCTATTGAGGTGATTAGGAAAAGGTGAAAGAACAATGGCGCCATTCTTAACAATCTTCACTGTGCTCGAAACCATTGTCTAGTTAGATGAACTTCTGGGACACTTCCGTGGGCACTGGGACAAATTCATGGAAAGTTGGTGTAGAATCAACCCTAACATGATGCAAACACTCAAATACATTATGATTATATTGTAAGATCCCTGTATCTCTTGCACTAACCCCTGAAAATGCCACTTGTTAAGCAAGTACCTTGCAAACATCCAGTATCCAGAGGCCTTTAACTAACTCCACCATAACTCCACGAACATATAATTACCACAAAGTGTGAGGCCTTTACATAAGCCTCTCTAGAAACCTCTAACACCCAATAAGACATTCAAAGCGTCATCCAAAATGAGCAGCTCAGAAAACAGATTTGGGAAGCTCACACTTTCTCCTCTGTCGTCTGTATACTAACATGTAATAAAACTTCTATTTCTTCCACTCAGAATTAAACAACCAAAATGAGAAGCTCATAAGGAATTCTTCAACACACCCAGAATTATCTCCTACAATGCCCCAAGGCAGGTCCCTCAAAAGGATCCATAATAAGCCTGTGACTTGTTTCCCAATAATGCTCTTGTATCCCTTAAACAAGGAGCCCTGGAGGCACAGTAGTTAGAGTTCCACCAATATATGTCTGAAAAAGTTGTTTGAACCTATCAGGCACTGAACAGAGAGACATATGACAGCCAACTTCTGTGAAGACTTACAGCCTTGGGAACTCTATGGGGACAAGACAACTCTGTCTTGTACAGTCTTTTTTGTTGTTGTGTGCTATGAGTCGGAACTGACCCATAGTTGACCCTCCAGTGAGTTTTCAGAGGCAGTGAATTGCACAAGAGGACACTGTCCATCTTTCCTCCATGGAGCAACTGATAGATTCCAACTGTGTACCTTTGGTTTGGTAGTGTAATTCCTTACCACTAAACCACCAAGGAAATAGAAATGGCGAGACCTATATCCACCCCTATTTGTCCATTCTAGAAGGCCCACAAAATTCTCAGCTTGCATAAACATGCCCTCCTCCTGAGAGGATTGCATAACCGCAGGGATCAAAACGTTTCAGAATGTAAATCCACCTGGAAATTGTTATTGGTGCCCTCTTTCTGTTGTTGCCATGGAGTTGGTGCTAACTCATAGTTGGACCTCCACTGGATTTCTGAGGCTGTAACTTGCATGGGAAGAGATTGCCTTTCTTCCTCCCATGGAGTTGCTTGTGGATTTGAACCACCAGAGAGGTCTATCATTTGGGGCAATTGCCTGTAATAAAACCGAGACATCCTAGTGGCAAGAATTCCCCAGGGCAGGGGCTAGAGATTTTGGATCCCACTGCTGTTGAATTGACTCCAACTCATAGCAACCCTTCATTGGATTTCCACAGCTGTAAATCTTTAACAGGAGGAAACTGCCTCATCTTTCTCCTGTGGAGGGGCTGGTGAATTTGAACCACCGACCTCCTAGTTAGCAGCCCAGCACATCATGTACTAACTAAGGCTTCTAATTACCTTGTATACCAAACTCAAAGTCAAACCCATTGAGCTGATTTGATTCTGAATCACAGCCATCCTCCATTAAGTTTCTGAGGCTATAAATCTTGATGGGAAAAGAGAGCCTCATCTTTCACAAGGCAGTAAGTGGATTCAAACTGACAATCTTCCCATTAGCAGCCCTACACTTAACCTACTATACCACCAGGACTCTTTCTTTGCTCTTACAAGTTTCCATTATTTGGCTACTGGACATTTTTAAGTTGCATACATGGTTCCCATGGCCACAGAGGCAGGCCCCACTCTACCGACCTGGTCACAAGGGGGCAGACCTTTGGCGTTTCCCAATAAAGAGGTGGCTTCCCTTCCAGTTCTTAGTGCGTCCTCCTCTCAGCCCCGTGAAGCCCTAGCCCAGTGCAGACAAACAGAGTCTTGAGGTTGTTAGGGCAGAAAGAAAGACCATTTTAGATTCAAACATGAATAAAGAGACTCCTTTCCAATGAGCGGTGTGATGAGGCCTTGGAAAGGTGGTCTGAGGGGAAGAAGGGAGAATCCCATCTCGTAGTTCAGAAGAGGAGAGCTCTCTGTGTTCTTTTGGCTGGCCCATCCTCAGCAATTGTAGGCAGATCCTGGGAGAGATGACGAGGGTCAGCTTATGTGGGTGGATGGTGTTCTTTGTGACCCAATCATGCACATGCATGTAAACACACGTCCAACTCTGCTCACCCATCTGTTCCCTGTCTTACCTGGAGTGACAAGAGGTGGGCCTTCCCCTGCACGGTGACTAAGGAAATAAAAGTGATGAGACTGTAGCCACCCCATTTGCCCTTTCTCAGCTTGCCCAGACACGCCCTCTTAGCTATTTTTCCATCCAAGAGTTGTATAATCCCAGGAGCCAAAGTATTTCAGGATTTAAACCCGTCTGGGAGTTGTTATTATTATTAACTAGAAATAATAAACCCAGGATATCTTAGTGGCAAGAATTCCCCCGGGCAGGCCCTAGCTTTGTTCTCTTTCTGCAAGATTTCATGTAGCAGGGGACCTGGGAACCCATGGTACCTGGACTTCTGTCGGAATTTGCATTTGCATTTGCCGCCTGTAAGGGAGAGGTGAAAGGCTAGTGAAGGTCCCCCCAGCTCCCACACTAGCCTGGCCCCCTTTCTTCCCTGGTTCCTGTACTCACTCATGAGCACGATGATGCCGATGGCACAGAGAACGGCAGCACAGATTAGCCCGGCAACCCGGAGGCTGTGCCAATCTAGGAGAAAAACGAGATGTGAGGTGGGGTTGGACTCTTTAATACCAGTTGGCGTCCTCCCAGCCAGGCACCATTGTGGGCCCTGATCGTGTCATAGGTTAAGTCAACAGGGTGAACTGCCAAGCTATTCCAATGGAGACACCATGAATGCAAATGCGTGCCATAGACAGTGGGTTCTGATTTCTTGTGCAGGGCACTGGGGATAGAGTGCAGCATAACGCCAGCCCTTCTGACTCTCCTGTCCTGGTTGACTCACTCGTAAATAAGACATATTACATGGGGTCAAGCAGAGATAAGCACTCGGAGGAAAATATAAAAGGTCAGAGGTTAGGAAGTCAGGGGACAGCTATTTTAAAGAGAGTGATGTGAGAAGGCCTCTGTGAGGAAGCCATATTGAGCAGAGCCCCAAAGGAAAGAGGAAGGGAGTGGACACATGGAAAAAAGAATACAGGCAGAAGGGGCCTGTTGTCTGCTGTGTCTGAGGAAGTGAGGAAGGCCAGTGTAACCTGAACTGAAAGTGAAAAGGGGAGTGGAAGAGGGTGAGAAGGGAGATGCGCTGAGAGGCAAGGGGTGAGGGTCAGAGGCAGGTCCTGGGGCACCTGGAGGCCAGGGAAGATTTTGGTTACATAGACCATTTCTCTTAAGACATTTTCTCCAGTCAGCCCTTCTTCTAGCAACTGAGTTAAACCAGAGCTGTTTCCTGTGAACCATGCTGACTTCTTGTGCGCATCTGCCATGGAAGAGTAGAAGCTTCCCAAGAAGCAGGTGAGCGTCTCAGACGCTTACCAATCCAGTCCAATGTTCCAATCCTAGACCCTTCCTGTCCTCAACCTGATTCACTCATGTCAGCCCCTCATCCAATCTCATGTGGTCATGTGGGGCCTTTAGTACAGGATTGCATGTATGTGAAAGAGAAGGGGAGATGGGGAAGGGGTTTGGGGTGGGGAAGTGGAGGTGGGGTACTAGTATAAACTCTCACCGTAGTAGAAAGGACTGTTTTTATCTGCAAAGAAAAAAAGGGAGGGAAAAAAATGAGATGCAGGACAACAGTCAGAATGTTAGGGTCCAGGGGAGAGTTGGTGCTGGGGTGGGCTTACCTTCTGGGTCATTCGCATTCAGGATGGGGAGGCCTGGTGAGAAAAAGAGAAGTGAAGGCAGTTTTGATTCAGCAAAGGCCTTGGGCAGAGCCAGTGGCACTGTTGGGGCATCAGGTTCGAATCCTTGAGGGACAGTTGCCCACCTCAAAGGTGTAGGGGTTTGGCTCGGACTCTGCCCTAACCCTCATTAGCCCCCAGTTGCCACGCTCCACAGCACTTTGCCATCTGAAATAGGTTTGAATCCGAGTGATATTTGCCTATGGTCTGGCTCTGTATTTCCAGACAACCATACTAATCCATTCTTCTTGCAGAAATGGAGGGATCTTCTTGCCAAAATTACATATTATTTATGTCCCAGGACTCAATTTCCCCCAAACCATCCATTCTCACAGCCCATCTTTGCAGTTAGTCCACACCTTCTCACCACCCTCCGACCCACTCTGGCTCTTGAAAACAACTCACTATGCTAAACGTTAGTGCACTTAATGAAATAAATATTTACATAAGATCATTTTTAAATGCAGCTACATCTTAACTATTCTAAATGGCATATCAGTTTGCCTGCTGTTACCATGGATTAAAATATAAACAAAAAGACTGAAATTAAGTTCTGGTTAGAAGTGGTGGCAGCTTCCGAGGAGAGCACTTTTCATAAAGGGAGGTTAATAATTTTTAATTATATTTAAACAACACGAAGTGTTTGTTCTGGACCAGGTGCTGCTCTAAAGTCCTTTTCAAATATTAACTTGCTTAATCCTGGCAAAGATGAATTGCATTGGGAAAGTCTGCTGTCAGTAACCTCTCCAGAGTACCAAAGAGCAATGATGTCAGTCCAGAGACTAAGGTGTGTCTAATACAGGCCATATTCTTTGCAGTTACTTGCTATGCATCAGAAAGCTGGACAATAACTAGGGATGATAGAAAAAGAATTGATACCTTTGAGCTGTGGTGCTGGAGAAGAATATTGAACATACCATGGACTGCTAGGAGAACAAACAGGTTCGACCTGGAGAAGGTGAAACCAGGCTGCTCCTTGGAGGCAAGGATTCTGAGGATTTGTCTGACATGCTTTGGGCATGTTGCTAGGAGGGACAAGTCCCTGGAGAGGGACATCATGCTTGGATGGGTAGAGGGACAGTGCAACCAAGAGAGGAAAACTCTTGATGAGATGGATTGACTGAGTGACTGGGGTAATGGGGGTAGGTGTGTCAGAGACAATAAGGTTGGCTCAAGATAGAGCAGGGTTCAGAGCTGTTGTACATAGAGTCGTTATGAGTCGCAAACTACTGAATGGCACATAATAACAACAACAATCCTGGCAATGGCTCTATGAGTAGATGTTGTGAATTCTCCTCATATTTACAAATGGGGAAACTGAGACACAAAAGGTAACTGGCTCGAGGTGCTCCATAACCACAAAGCTTCCGACTACCTTGCAGAATAAAGTGCTCTCAGCCCATTCGCACTGAGTCAGACCACCTCACAGCTGACTCTCCACTGGCTTTCCAAGAGTGGAAACTGCACAAGAGCTTACTCATCTTCCTCCCTGGAGCCACTGGTGGATTTAAACCACCGGAAAGGCACAGCCTTTGTTAGCAGGGCACCCACTATGGCCTACGCCACCAGAGCACCCTAAAGTGTTCACCAGAAACAGCTCCTTGCCATCGAGTCTGAACCGACTGACCCTCCAACAGGTTTGCAGAGGCTATAAATTGCACGGGAGGAGATTGTCCATCTTTCTCCTGCAGAGCAGCTGGTGGATTTAACCCAGCTGCCTAAATAGAACCAGCTGCTTAAAGAATCAGTAGCCCTAGACTGAGCTTATCTCTTGACATCATCAGGGGATTTACAAGGGGAAGGAAGGCACTTTCTAGCCCTGTAAATCACTACTCTAAAAAGGTCTTCCCATGTCTCTTGAAATCAATACTGCAGCATTGTCCTGGTATTCACCACCTCAGTGGGGTCGCAGAAAGGCAACAGCCAGAGACACACGGATGGACTGACACAGTGGTCCAGTGGTGGAGACTGTGAGGCCAGCACAGGACAAAGTGGGATTTCATTCTGTTGTGCAGGAGGTTGTTGTGAGTCAGGGATGACTTGATGGCACCTTCCAACAATATCAGAGACACACCTGGGCTTGGCTTAGCTAAGGGGTCAGATTCTAGGGATGGACACTCACCTGCCAGGAGGACCAGCAAGTTCAGGGTCACCTCTCGCATGTCGGTGCGTTGGGCTGGGGGCCTTAGGAGAGAGAAGGTCCAGCTTTAGTGGGGCTGCCAGGGTGCCAGGCCTGTGTCCCTGATTCTCATTGTCCTTTGCCAGCTACTCACCCAGACACACAGCTAACCCAAGCCCTTGGGACTCCTCGCTGGGCTGAGAGATAAGAAGAGGCTGAAAAAGTGAAGTGGGGGCTGGGTGAGACTCAGGCCGACTGAGGGAGCAGAAATAACACGTCACTGGACGCAGACTTGAGGCTTTAAGGGAATAGTCCCCACAGCCAAATGAAGGTGGTGCTGCACACAGTCACCCCCATGCTCAGATGGGAAATCAAGGCAGCGCCCATTCTAGGTCCTGGGGTCCATTTCCTCTCAGCTTTCCTGTTGATCCTGTAGACCCAAGATGTAATTTTCTGTTTGTGCATCTATGTCTACCCCTTTCTCAGATGGGCAACCTGTATAAAGGTGAGTGCCCAGGGGTCCCTAGCTAGGACACAGATTTAAGTCAGCCTGGCACCACAGTGGGTTCTTAACTCTTGGACTTTTAGAGCCTCAGGCATTTGGGGGAGTGGAGTGTTGGGAGCCAGGTGGCAGGAGGCCCGAGTTCCTGGGTGTGTCTCCCACAGACAATTTGGAGCCTGCCAGGCCCTACCCAGGCTCTGTGGACCTCTGGCAGGGCCAGAGCTGGCACTTCAGGGCAGCCCAGAAGTCTGAGGAAGAGAAAACTCCAGTTTGGGGCAGACTTGGAGGAAGAATTGAACTTTCTCAGGTTCTAGTCCGGGCCTTTTCTATCATTCTAGCCCCAAGCCCAGGTCCTGCGCCCCCCCCCCACCTTTATCCCCCCCCCGCCCCCCCCCTTCTCCAGCCCCAGCCCTCACCTCTGGCCCAGCCCACTCTGTCAGCTCCTCCCAGCAGCAAACATCTCCTCTGTCCCCAGGTAGACCAGAAAGAACCCTTCTTCCTATCCCTGGTGTGAAGTGTGTGTGATAAGCCCTCAGGCCCCTGTGTGTTTTCTGGTGGTTCTCTGGCCCTGCTCGACCACTGGGAGCATATACCGTCAGGGTTCCGCCGCACTCTGTGTTGGACAGCTATACTTGCTGGTTTTTCACTCACGGTGAAGCCTGTCTGCTATGTTTCTCACTTCACTGATGGCAAAACACATTAAAGAGAGAATGGTGCTGTTGGGGCCTAGAGGGGACCCTAAGTACATCTGGAGATATACTGAACCTAAGTACATCTGGAGATGTACTGAACCATACTGGCAACACCCCTCCTTCACTTTTCAGAACTTTTTGGTCAGTGACTCCTATGGCTCTCTGACCAAAGCTCCAGGCCTCTTCCGGGAAAGATACTCCAGGAACCTAATTCTACTAACAGGTTTAGGGGTTCACATACTCAGTCTAAGTCTATGGATGCCACGGACTCGTTAAAAACCCCATTTAACGTTCCCAGCTGGGTCCCAGGTGAAGCCCAGTCCAGACCTAGAGAAGGGGCCTTCATCTCTTCCTTATCACACATGATGTGTCTATTTCCTCACACAGCCCCTTCCATCTGCCAGTGCCCATCCCACACCATGGGATGTCCTACTTCTTCTCCATTTCCCTGTTGATCATGTAGCTTGGTGTTACCGTTTTGGTTTGAGTATCCAAGGGGATGCTCTGGTGGCATGGTCTGTAGTGAACTGTTACAGACCTAAAGGCTGTGTGTCTCTGGGGGTTCTAACCCACTGAGGACTCCATAGGAGAAAGATAGGCCATCTCCTCGCGTTTCAATTTACAGCTTCAGAAACCCAATGGAGGCTTGCTATGAGTGAGAACCAAATCAAATTTGGGTTTTGAGTACCCATATATTGTAGAAAGAAGGTTAGAGCTTTATGGGGCATTCCCAGGGCATTTGGTGCTGCGAGGAGTGTTGGAGATAGCCGGTACGGGAGTGTGGATAGACCAGCTAGTGGTTACAGGTCATATGAGCAGCCTTCAGAGATCAATGAAACTAATGCTCTCACTATCCCATGTAGCTGCTGCCTCGTCCATTAACTTGTAACCCCAGTGACTTCAGGTTAGTGCTCTATCCTTTTACCCCAGTGACTGTTGATGCTCAGCTCTTAAATCACTTTCCATGAAATGTCCCAAACCTCAGAGACCCCATAATTCTCCACTCCCATGACTCATCCAGCCCTCCCCAACCCCTCGCCACAAGGGAGACTGCCAGCTACACCCAAGCCCCTGCACAGCAACGTCCAGCCGCAGGGTCCCCCGCCCTGGGAGACAGGAGCTGGGTGTCTAGGCACCAGTCCTTTGCTTCCCCATTCACGCTGTGTGTGAAGAGCCTCCTGGGTCACTCCAGACCTGGCTGCAGGAATGGCTCAGGGCCTATTCCCTGTCTACACCTCCTTGTTCCTTCTTGGGTTTCAGTACAGGCTGGGGGGCCCATTTCTGCAAACTGCTGCCACCCTCTTTTTTCTGCTCGCTCCAGCTGGGCCCTCAAGGATGGTCACTGTGACGATCCCTTTTCTCAGAAATCTCTCAACAAACTGTATTCCCGTCTCCTTGGCAGTTATCCTGTGCGCTTCTCAAAGTCTCCAGCACCCGTATGTCCCCAGCACACCTACCAGTCTTCCCATACTCTCCAGTCCAGTGTGGGTCTGCCCCTCACCCTAGCTGGTCTACTCTATTCCTGGACAGAAGAATAGGGGTGGGGACGGGACTGGGTGATTAAGGTACACAGCCAAATGGGGTTTGGAAGGGAGGGGTCCCAGTCACTCACCTGTGTGATTGTAGCAGGTTGAGTGGAGGTTCAGGAGAAAGCAGGAGCTGCTGGCTGGAGTCTGCTTTTATCCACTGTGGCCACGCCCTGAGCAAACCTGGGCAGGTAGAGAGCAAGTCAGACTCCCTAAGGCTCCAGGGCACCCCCACCTCATTCCTGCTTTTAAAGAGACAGCTCTGCTTCCTCCCCAGCCCGGCACAGCAGCCAGCCCTGAAGTCACAGCAGCCTCACATGAGCTGGAAAGGGTATGACTCCCAGACGACTCGATGGCATATAGCCACCACCACCACAACAGGATTAAGCTTCTCACATTAGGAGAGAAGGGCTTTCCTCTAACCTCCTGACCTCTCAAAAAAGGAACATGAAGGGGAAAAGCTCTGGAGTCTTTAACTGGAAAATTTCTAGATAACAGGAGCACTGGGAATAGGGGTAGACAATACGAGAGGGAGGGACTGAAGGGCATTATAGGGGGTCTAACACAACCCTCAACAAGATGGATTGACACAGTAACTGAAATGGGTTCAAGCATATCAGAGGACATGAGGATGACACAGGATAGGACGAGGTTTGGATCCGTTGTTCATAGGGTCATTGTGAGTCATAGCCAACTCAGTGGTCTCTCACAACAAAAACAACATGTTAGGAGGGGGGTCTGGTGGCATATAGAGTTGTATTGCTAACACAAAGGCCACATCTCTCTGGCAGTTCAAAATCCACCAAATGACTCCTTGGGAGAAAAATGGGCGACCTTCTCTGGGACAATTTCCAGCCTTTGGAAACCCAGGGGCTGTTGGGCATCAGCTATGAGTCAGTTCTTACCCACAGCGATGAGTTTGTTTGTGAACACATTAGAAGTGAGCTCTGGAAGCACAGTGCTGGTCGAGTGTCCTGGCTAACCCGAAGGCTGCATGCTCTGATGGGTCAAACCCACTAAGGAAGGTGGGCAGGGACCTCCCATACAGTTGATAGCTTCAGAAATCCAATGGTTTATATGGTAACATGAGTCAGAGCCAGCTCAATGGCAACGGCTCTGAGCATTGGGCTGCTAACCCCAAAAGTCAGTGGTTTGGATCTGCCAGCTAGTTCATGGGAGGAAATATAGGTAGTCCCCTTCTGTAAAGATTTACAGTCTAAGAAGCCCAATAGAGAGTCAAACCCAATGGTGACAACTCGGAATCAACCCCACCACGTTGGGGTTTTCAGTTTGAAAGTACTTTCAGGCCAAATTTTGCTGTTCTTGATGTTTGAGGCTCCACAGAAACTGCGGCAATGACCAAAGTGCTGTGACAGGGATGGGGGAGGGTCCCCCAGGGGCCTGCTGGATCTTTGATTGAGCCTTAACTCCCAGGCAGCCCTGGGGAGGCTGAGAACCATCCTCCAAGTCCCAGGCTAGAATTTTCCAGGGATGCAGGGACCAGGAAGCTAGGCTGCCTTGGTCCATGGAGTGGGGCTAGGGACTGCCTCCCACTCCAGATAAGGCCTCATGCACCATGCAAGACTCCTTCCTCCTCTCCCTCCTCCCTGCCCCTGCTCCTCACAGCATTCCTTCCGGCTGGGGTCTCTGGAGGCCCCCAAGTGGCCTCCCTTGGGGTACACCTTCCCCTCCCCAATTCCGCCTTCTTAGACAGAGAGACTTTTGTTTGGGGGCTGGACTGAGAACAAGGCGCCTTTGAGTGTTTGGCGGAGGATTGGGGTCACGAGGAGGGGCAGGCCAGCAAAGGGGTGGCTCTAAATTGGCCACTAGTTGGACTTCAGGCGACTGCCCAGCCCCCAACACCAATGCAGCAGTAGGAGGAGGGCAGCAGGACCAAATCAGGGATGGGGTCTTATCAAGTGTGAGGTGCAGGAAAAAGAAAGAGGGCTTCACTGGATCAAGACTCTACTGAAAGACTAGTCTGGTAGGAAGCAGGAGAGAAAGGGTCCCCACTTCTTAGCAGAGATCAGAGGGAAGGGAAGGCTCACCCAGCCATACAATTTGTAAATGTAAGTCCCTTGGGCAGTCCTCAAGCCTTGGGCCTAGGTCAGAACAAGGCTTTCTCTCCACCCAAGTGCAGAGGAGCCTGTTCCCACAGGGAGTAGATGGGCACTTAGGATAGGCTATAGTCAAAGGGGGAGGTGCTGGGGGCCATAGAAATAGAGGAAGGAGAGGCAAGAGAAGAGGATCCCGGTCCAGTTAAGGGGGACTTTGTGTCTGGGCAGACTGCAGCTCTTGACCAGACATTTCACTATTGGAATAACCCTGA